AAAGCAAGAATTTTTTTTTTGGCTATAAATTTACCCGTGGAAGCTATTCAAACAAGGATATGAAAAACAAACCAAAAGGTAAAAAACAAAACGAAAAGAAAAAGTCTTTGCCATTCATTATTTTTCTTATCTGTCTAGCCAAATGAATCGATCATTAAACCACACCTTAGAAATCGCCCATGTTGGCTTCTTGCCAATATGCTTGTGTCGTTTGCTCCAAGTTAAAAGGGTTCTACCAGAAATTGGGTGGCTACTATGCAACTTGGTCCCAATTGGAGAGTGGATTGGTCGAGTCGAATCTCTCTAATTTGAGTCTGCTTAGATATTGCTCGATTTCAATTGAAAAAGTTCTAGCTGAGCTCGACTATTGAGTTTAATTTTTTGGGTGAATTATATTTTACAACCTAAAAAAATTAAGAAAATTTATTTTGTATCATCAAAATTTAAAATTTTTACACTGTACTATTAATGTATTAAAAGTTTTGTAATGTGGTATTTTCTTTACCTTCTGTTTTGTCATTCTGTCAATATCAATGGAGTGATTTTTGACGGAATAAATAACGAATGTTAATGGAATGGTCACATTGTAACACTTTTAATACATTGAGACTGCAATATACAAAATTTAATTTTTAAAGGTGCAAAATGAAAATTCTTAAATTTTTTGAAGTGCAAAAGGTGATTCTGCCTAGAATCTTATTTAAGCTTGGTGTGATAGAAGCTTGAGAGGATTCCATTTAAAATTGAACTCAATTGTGTAACATACATTTTTAAACATTAACCATAAATCAAATTGTAAAAGTTCAATATGTAGGGGAGAGAGAGAGAGAAACATATATGGTTCAGAATTAGGGATAAGTTTGGTATTGGTCATATTTGAAATAGGGGTGATTTGACAATAAAACTAATTATGGATGAGAATTGATTAAAGTCGTGTTCAATCTATTCGAATTAATCAAGATGTTGGTTAGATTTGACTGATTTAGAAGACGAGTTTAAAAATTTAGTCGAATTCGATCAATTCGTATTTAAACGAGTAGAAGTCAAGTCAAACTAGAGTTGCTCGGATCATCATACAACCCTTAATTTTAACCATTTTTCCCCCAAACCCCAAAATTAAGAACAAATATTGATTTCATTCCACCATCCTTAGAACAAACACTCAATTAGAGCTAACATTCATAATATTAGAAACTCAAATTGGTTCATCTGTCCATCCATTTATACATTAAACTAGGGATAATTTGTGCTTAAAAGCACAATAAGTGAGAAGGATGGATTTAGTGAAAAAAAAATTCAATGTTTTGAGAGAAATGTTGGTGGTCGTTGGATGAGTCTATTTAAAACTGTCGGATAGATTTATTGAAACCTACCTTATTTTATATTACAGATATAGATTCTATTATTTGCCAAACCTATTCTTCCTATGATATTGTCCTACCAAGGAGTTATATTCCTTCTTAATATAAGCTATTTCCTAATAAGAACAAAGACATGATTTAATTACAAGTATTTGATTTATTTCATCTATTTGGGTTGTTTAATAAAAAATAAATCATTAAAGGACGTTTTTGTTTTCTAAGTAAGTATAACTATGACCAACTTACCCAAAAAAAAAACTTTGACCAGTTCATATAAACCTTATAAAATATTACAAATTAACATTTTTAACTAACTAAAAAAAGATTTATTAAATTTATTTTTTTTGATGAAATAACATAAAAATCCTATGACATTTTTTTAAAAAAAAAAAACACGGAAATCTACTCAAATTTCTAAGCATAGACATAGAAAAAATGAACGATAAAATAAATAAACTCTATCTATTAAAAAGTTAATAGATATACTTAATATAAAAATTATTTAACATTTTTTAAAAAACAGGCAAAAATTTCCTACATGAATATTAAAGTGCAACCCATTTAGGGGCTGTTTGGTTAGTTTGTTGGGAGGGGTTTGAATTGGCTTTTCCAAACCCTTCCAATTTCAAACTGCTCTTTACAAATATGGGATTCAACATTCAATCCCGTCCAAGTTTGGTATGCGCACGGATATATCACTATTATGATAATATATTTGTATATAAATGATTATTGTGCTCTTTAACCAATCTAATCCAAACTCATATTTGTTTACGTATATTTTATTGTGTCCTTATGGTTTTAATATATGATTAATTTTTTCTTCTTAACTTATGAAAAAAAACCATGAATATTGATGAAATATAACTATTTATTCAAATAAACATAATAAAGTGCAATAAAACATTAACCTAACAAGATGGTGCAACATTATAACATTTACATATACGGGGATACACACAAAACTTGTCCATTCCCAAATACATCAAAGCGGGCGGACATATTCCTGTTGCACTATATTGAACATCATTGTATTGGTTACAAAATGCTCATATCTATTGATGACATTAATCATCAATGATAACCAATTCTACAGTTGGGCTATATGGAGATGAGACTAAAGTGGAGCCAAAATACACTATCACCGCACACATGTGAAGAACTCAAGGATTGTGCGAAGAAGAGAACAATTACCTCGGCTTGATGTGTTTCGATCGAACAACCAGAGGTGTTTATATAGGGCAAACGAAGCATCTTCGAACAGTGATTGACTTGATATAGGCTGAAGGATATCTCTGTAATAGATTTTCCACAGATTTGCCAAAGATTTTTTGTAGATCGAACAACAGGAGGGGTTAATTTCTTCAATTGTTTCCAGTGAACAACAGGAAGGGTCTCTGCATTCTAACTTTCCCACAAATTTCCCAAAGATTTTTTGCAGGTTAGTGTATTTCCCAGAAGAATCTTGTATGTGTTGATAAATCGTAGGTCGGTTCTTCAGGAACTTTGTGGGAATCTTGTGTCTATGTTGATCGATGGAGGTCAATTGAGAGAGATGTGTGAATAGGGTACTATGGGGTATATGAGATATATGGGGGTATAAATGTCATTTGTATGTTCAACCCTTTAACCCACATAAACTCCCAACACAATTATTTCTACCATACACACAGATCTATAATCATAAAAATAATAGAATTGAAACATAGGCACAAAGTTTGTTGAAATATATATGAAATTACAAGTTTCTTTTGTTTTTATTTTCCTCCCCGCATTACATTTATTAGCCTTAGGTTGAAACAGTTACAAAAAGTGGTGACAACCAACAATATTGCATTACTTCAATGTATACAGGTAAATTAAAAAACAAAAACAAAGGTAAAAGAGCAGAAAAAAATGCAAAGATCAAACAAAATGCACAAACAAAAACGAGCACCACATATAAAAGTCATCGTGATTAGGTATCACTGACCAACCAATGCATGTCTATAAATTCACCCAATAAGGTCTTTTATGCTCCACATGAATGGTATATGTAGCAAATTAACAGAATTGAAGCACAAATCAAGCAAGATCACAGTATATAAAAGAAAATGCATATAAAATTTCATTTCATTCTCTTTGAAACTCATTTCCTATTGTTTTATTCCTGTTTAAAGTAGCAAGCAAAATGGAAACCAAATACCAAGAGAAAAATGACAAATGAATGGTGCCAGTGACAAAGGAAGAGTGAAGATGGAGAGATAATTGATGGAGATGGTAAGCCGGAGACAGAGTGAAGATCACAATCTTGAATGGAAATCGTTGCCATGATTGATGCCTGAATGGAAATTGTTATGAACTCATAACTTGTCTTTGAAAATCGACTTGCAAGGAAAGATTGCCCAAGTATTTATATACACGTCTAGTTTTATTTTTAATTGATTTGGAATTGTAACATAAATTGTCACACACACATTGAGAGAGAGGGCAAAATGGCCCATCAAAATGCCGTTTTTATATGAAGAATATTGACCCGCCAGGTTTGATTTCAATCGCCCAGTTTAATGGTTCTTTAACGAATCCAATAACAAAACTATTTCCCCAGTTCCCCGTTTCTTTAACGAATCCAATAACGCTTAGTTCGAGGTAAATGGAAATTAAATTAGTCATTTCCCCATTTCCGTTAACTCAGACTCCCAGACCAATTACTAATTTTGATTGGTATCTCCATGTCATTTTTCAAGTGTGAGGGATGCTCATGTATTTGTGGCGAATGTCAGGGGTTTGTGCAAAATTTAACTTATATTGTATGATTTTAGCTCATTTTCTTGTAGCAGCTGTACATTTTCTAGGATTATTAGCTTCTATAATCCATTAGTCACTTCCATGATTATATTTTCCAGTTAATTGGTTTGTTACCCAATATGTTCTGTTTGCATTCTCCCTTAACTATCTAGTTTCTTGTAAGCATGTTATATTAAGTTTCATTCTAATCATAGTCTTTACTAACTTCATTGTTTTATGTGTTAATATTCCTAATTACATTTTGTAATCTAAATCTGCTAGGTCATATAAATAGATTGGATGGAGAAGGATGATGGAGGTAGTGAACTAAAACTTATTGTTTCCAAAAAAGGGAAAAAATGTAGAAGTTTACTTGGGGAAGCGAAGTTAAAAAGTTCTTAGTTAGTATTGCAAAATGGGATGAGATTGATATGATAAATAAAATCCATATTAGGATAAAACGTGGATTGTGTTGTTAATTAATATTAGATAGATGAACACCTGGAGGAGTGGCTCTTGGGCTTGTCTCCAATCCACTATTAAGGTCCATGTGTAAAGACTTTACACAATGACATGTGTTGCCTTATTCAATTAAATTTTTACTTTTGTCTTTTGCAATGCTCTCGGTGTTTTTCTGCACTTCTTTACCTTTTATGAAGTTTTGTGTCTGCCCTGGTTGCCACTTATTAACGGGAAAAATTATATGGGTGCGCAGGGAGCAGGCCACCCTTGGAGTTCGTTGTATTTCAACTCAAATTGGTGAGAGTCACTCTTTCGTATTCGCTGCATTTTCCATGGTGATATCAGACTTATTTCGGTAAATTTACTCCTCAATTGCGCATAATTTCAATTGTATATCCAGTCCGAAACCGGATGAAGAGTGTTAAGAACATCCAGAAAATTATGAAGGCTATGAAGATGGTTGCCGCCTCTAAGCTGCGAGCAATTCAAACTAAAGCTGAAAATTCTTGTGGTCTATGGCAGCCCTTCACCGCCCTTCTTGGTGACACACCAAGTATGTTTGTAAATAAAACTTCACCATAAATCTGCATCTGCTATTTTCATGACATTATACTTTCTCACTTCATTATCAGAAAATTTCTCATTTCAACATGTTAATCATCAGAGCAGTTGCATACTTGTATTCTTCCTATATATCAATTTTCAATGGCAACCTTTCTTGCGTACTCTTAGATTCTACATTGTTATTGTCATGGTTTGATTGCAGCTACGTGGTGCCAGTTTTCTCATGTACGCTCTTGCATAAAATTGTGTGCTGTGAGTATTTAGTTAACACATAACAAGATTGTAGAAGAATATTGAAATGTTGTTTAATAAGGTCATGACGTGCAGATTTTGTTGCCTAACATTTTATCATTGAAATTTTAGTTGCTTCTTTCAGTTTGTATTGGAGCACAGAAACGGTCAAGAGTATATATTCTGAACTGTAACGTGGAATTGCAGAATGCATTCAACTTTAAGGCACCCATTTTCTCCCTAGATATAAGTTTAGAAGTTGGACGAGGATGAAAGTCGATATCGAGAATTAGACAGATTTAGTTTTCTAAGTAGGACTTTGATGCAATATATTGGTTTAGATTTTATTTTCTTTTTGAGATTTAAGTGTGTATCTGGCATCGTGATTGTAGCATCCACTTCCATTGGGAGTAGAGGTGCATGAGAAAAGTCTGTGAACTGGCTTGATGTTTCTTTGGTTGATAAAACGATTGGTAGTTTGACTTGATATTTAACGAAATATTCTTCATCATGCTTATAATGATCGAATATTAAAATGTTTATTCCACCACATTGTACAGTACAAAGAATGTATTTTACTTTAGCAGAAGAATTCTTCTCATGGACACTGAGCACTATTACTTTCTAATCATTTACATGTAACCTTTTCCTACTCATTTTTGCCCTACTTTGACGCTTACGATGCCCGTGGGTCTCTCTCTCGTGAGAAACTATATTTCGGTTGAAATTGAAAGTTGGTTCTACTTCTGAGCATAGTTATTAAATCGTGTATCGGAAGCCGTATCATTTTTTAAAAATAGTGTATCGTATCGTGTATCGTAAGATACAGTGCAATTTTAAATAAATAATAAAAAAATATATATACCTTTAAAGAAAACTTATACACTCATAAAAATATAGCATTTCATTAATACTCCACCACCTATTCAAGTCATCAACATAGTTCACTAATATTATAATGCAAAGTTTACAACTATAGTTCACTAATTCAAACTTCAAACACCAAAGAGACTTTTAATCCAAATTTATAACATCCATTTTGAACTCAATCCATAAAATTAATCAAGATTCATAAATTTTTATACAAAAAAAAAAAATTAGTCTTATTTAGACAAAACGATGTTTCATTAGTGGTGGGGATAAAAAAATTAGTGTCTTATTTAGACAAAACGATGTCGTTTCAGAGAAAAAAAAAACAGGTTTTGCGTGTATCAGTTGTATCATATCGTAAAAATGTATCGTGTATCGGACGATACGACGCAAAAACGATACATAACTATGATCCGTATCGTTTTATCTCTGTATCGTAACGTATCGTACGATATGTATTGTATATCGTACGATACTAACAACTATGCTTTTGAGAATAAATTACCTTAGTAAGGCAGTAAAGGCAACGAAAGAGAAATAATACTCTGTTATGAATTTGACTTACTTTATTGCTTACTTGAGATAGATGTGGCAATACGTACTTTACAGGTCTGTTTGTTCCCACTACTCATATTATGTGCATTGCTCCGCTTTGGTATTTTTCCTTGTTGTCTCCTCTTGTAGCATTTCTCTTAATATATATTTTCTTTCGGTTGCATTAGGTTTTGACATCAAGAAGAATGTTGTCGTAACAATTTCATCAGGCAAAGGTCTTTGTGGTGGAATTAATTCTACATCCGTCAAGATAAGCAAGGGACTCCATAAGTTGAATTCTGCTATCTTGCAAGCAACTACTATAGAGAATTTAACAACAATTAGAGAAGATTGGAACTGTTGACTTATTGTTGTACTAATCCACAGGTCCTGAAAAGTTAAGCAAATATGTCGTTTTGGGAGAAAAGGCCAAGGCTCAACTGGTGCGTGACTCAAAGAAAGACATTGAAATATCCATAACAGAATTGCAGAAGAATCCTCTGAATTATACCCAGGCGAGTTTCTTGTATTTATTGCCTCATATATTTGTTATATGCTATATTAGGGCGGCACAATGCTACTACGGGATCTGGGGAGTGTTGGAAGTATGCAGTCTCATCACGCTAGTTGAAACTTTGGTCACAATGGAGCAACCTTAGGGCTGCACCAAGTTTCACCCTCATAATGATTTATTATATGATAAATTTTAGTCTCCATGATTTATAGATATATAAGTGAACAAATTAATATCCATGCAAACAAAGCTAATTATATTGCAATAGATTGTATAGCATATCCAACAATATAAACTTTGTTATGCAATCATTCCAATGCAAAACTCATCTAAAACACAATACATTCAAGATATTTGAGACGATTTATTACTTTCACTTTCTAGATGTGTTTAATCTTAAATTTGAAAGTAATGACGTTATAAGAGGGGCTTGTTAAATAACATATTTTAGTAGATTTGACATTTTGAGGTTTAATTTTTATTTTGTCTTGCACGATGATTTCTGTATTTTTGTGTTTAATAAACTTTTATTTTATTTATTGGTTTATTTTTAAAATAAAAAGATCATATATTCTACCCCGACGTGTTGTAAACATTTTGTTCGCGTGTCTTAAACGTTCTCAAAATTAAAGAATATTTTAGAAGAAATACCTCAGACAAATTTGGTCGTATCTTACATCTTTTGTACATATTCAATGCACATTCGTATCTGATACCTATCAGATAGGGAACAATGTTAGAGTATCCATGCTTGGAGAAAGAAAAAGAAAAGAAAAATGAGAGCGCAAATGGTGGACGTGTATACAATCGTGTGTGTATTCATTTGAGGTGTGTGATTTTGAGTAAGGAGTGAAGAAGAGGCATGCATGCCGTGCAAGGAAGAAAAAATGACTCGAACCACATGGTATGTGAGACATGTACACAAACTGAGCATGTCATCTAACACCTTACCAGACCCTGGTCTCTGGGGGACTTTGGACTATTGGCTCCCACAATCCATCCCATAATCTTCAGAAAATATCATCCACATATTGAATGGAAATTCAAGAGGTATTTCAGCAACTGGAATGCAAATGCAGGAGAATAATGAAAGGAAAAATTCTAGGCAGAGATTTAGGATGGAGCACATGGTGAACCACCTCACTTACCTTATCCTCATTCCAAGCAGCTTATATCAACGTCTCTGTTATCACAGGAACAACATACTTCAATTTCTTCACATATCATTGTTTGGTTCTTGAATGTCTTTCATGTTTCTTTCCCTTAAATTTTTCCTCTTCTTTTCCTCACAAAACTGTTGTCTCTCAGTTTTTCTTTTCTTCTCTATACATTGTGCATGGCTTCTCTACACATTTCAAATATTTCTTCTTTACACATTACACAAACCTCTTTTCAACACAGAAACACATACCTCACGTGAACCGCGGTTGGATGCATGTTCATCTATATGCTCTCCTTTATTTTCCCCGCTTATGTTCTCTTGGTTTTTCCCACTCATTCAATCTCATTACTATAGATTGCACACAGGAAGCATGTGAAAGTGGTTGCTTTCTCTTCATGCGAAGTTCCATATTTTAACACTTTTCTCCCTCACTTCATATAATATGGTTACTCCCAATGATAAGCGTGACTTACATGTTCATAAATTATAGATTGATCCCAACATAATTTAGTATTTGTTGTTATTGATTTCCTGGGGTGATGTGTTACAGTTAATTTGCCAAATTATCTGAAAAAGACGTTAGGCGGTGTATCATATTGTTCTTCTGACTCTTCTCACTGAGTTGACCAGAAAATAAACAATCTTCCTTACAAGGGGCATACTTACTCTCTTCTAGATGAAAGGTGCAAGGTGCACTCACCCTTTTCTTGATGAGAGGACCAATATGAATTTCCTTAAGTCACCCTTCATACACTGAGGGAAAAATAGCTGTGGAACTAAAATATCATGTGATGGAATAGAAAAGTTAATGCATATTGAGCTACCTTAACAATTTACATATTTCAAAAGTTAGATTTATGGTTGATGCTATGATGCAGGCCAGAACCTGCAAGGATTAGGATAGTCTCGGGATGCCACTCACCTGGGGCAACGGACATCACTCGATGTTGCTAATCGCGGACGGCACTCACCCGGCCAAGTCACCCACTTGATTCTAGGAGGACTCCTCACTCCAAGCAAGTTAAACTTGCAGAGAATTATTCTCTATAATCATCAAAACATGATCTGATTTCATTCATGTAGATAATTAGAAGGACTACAAGTGATGACTCTACTCCCTAGACATTTATGACATTTATTGCTTTAGGACTTTCCAAAACAAGGCATACTTCCAAGACAGACAACACAAATTAACAAGACATAGGAAACGCAAGAAATCTAAATAGACTTTTCACTTTCCCATTAATGCTCCTGCATCATTCTCCTCCGCTGAAAAGGAAGCCCTCCTTGAATCCTCAACCAAATCTTTCCACAGCCTTTCATCAAGCTTCTTGAGCTCTTGAGCAGAAATCCATGCATCTTCAGAATCCGGTTTTCCCATCCAATGGACCAAATACTGTGTGTAGGTTCCTTGGCGGGTAGTGATTGAACGAACATCCAAAACATCGATGAATTCTCGCTGGGGATTTGCTGGTATAGCAGACAAGTCTTCAAGGTTCAAGGCATCATTGTTTTCATCTCCATGATAAGAATACAAGTCACTAATGTTGAAAGTTGGGCTGATAGATAGTCCTGGGAGTAACTCCAATCGATAACCATTAGGTCCCAGCTTCTTGAGTATTCGGCATGGTCCAAACTTCTTTTGCTTGAGCTTGTTATAAGAACCAGCTGGAAATCTTTCTTTTAGAAGATAAACCATGACGAGATCTCCTTCTTCAAATTCCTTAGTCCTTCAATGTGCATCAGCCTTTATCTTGTACTGCTTACAAGCTTCTTTTAGGTGCTCACAAACTTGATCATGAATGCCCTCGATGTGGGCAGCAAACTCCTTTGCATCCATGTTAACTCGGTCTTGATTCTTTAATGCTAGAAGGTCCAAAACTTGGTGTGGTTTTCTTCCATAAATCACCTCAAATGGAGTTTTCTTAGTTGATCGATTGAAGGAACTATTGTAAGCAAATTCAGCTTGAGGACTGATGAACTCTCATCTCTTCGGATTGTCTCCTATCAAACTTCTCAACAAATTTCCAAGAGATCTATTCACCACTTCAGTCTGCCCATCGGTTTGAGGGTGGTAAGCATTAGAAAACTGAAGTTGTGTTCCAAAAAGCTTCCAAAGTGTCTTCCAAAAGTGACTAATAAAGCGCACATCACGATCCGACACAATAGACTTTGAAACCCCATGCAGACGAATTATCTATCTGAAAAACAAAGTAGCAATGTGGGAAGCATCTGTAGAGTTCTTGCTTGGTACAAAGTGGCTATTTTTTAGAAACGATCCACAACAACAAAAATGCAGTCATACCCGTGCTGCGTCCTCGGCAAACCAATGACAAAGTCCATTGAAATATCCTCTCAAGGAGCATCGGGGTAGGAAGGGGCTGGTATAAACCTGTATTCTGCACTCCCCCCTTGGCCTTTTGACACACAAAACATCTTTGCATAAAACAAGCAACATCGCATTTCAAAGATGGCCAAAAACAACGTTCAAGCAAAAGTGATTCAGTTTTGTCCCTTCCAAAGTGCCCGCCAAGTCCACCAGCATGCAACTCTTGAACGATAAAAAGCCTCAAAGATCAATCAGGAACACACAACTGATATCCCTTGAAAAGATATCCATTCATGAGCGAATAACCTTCGTTTTTCCTTTCATTGAACTCCTGCAAAACCTTTGATATGAGAGAGAAGTCAACAAGCTGTATTTTCTACTTAATACATCAGCAACTTTGTTAGAGGAACCAACTTTCTGATTTAGAACAAAACTGAACTTTTCTATGTACGATACCCAGCCAGCATGTCGAGAGTTCAACTTCTTTTGTGCCTTGAGAAACCGTAAAGCTTCATGATCTGAATAGAGTACAAACTCCGCACCAATAAGGTATTCTTCCCAATGTCGCAAAGCTTGTACAATTGCATACAATTCCTTGTCATAAGTCGAATACTTCTTCTTGGCATCACTTAGCTTCTCGCTGAAATAGGCAATCAGCCTTCCTTCTTGCATCAGGACAGCCCCTATACCCACATTTGATGCATCACAGTCAACTTGAAAAGTTTTTGCAAAGTTGGGCAGTGCTAGCACGGGAGCTTTGACAAGCTTTGCCTTCAAAAGTTGAAAACTCTTTTCAGCCTCATTAGTCCATCAAAACTCTCTGCTCTTTAAGACATCCATCATAGGAGCAACAAGAGTGATGAAATGTTTGATGAACCATCGATAAAAAGAAGCCAAACCATGAAAGCTTCGCACTTCGGTAAAACTTGTAGGAGGTGGCCAGTCAAGAACTGCCTTCACCTTTTCCTCATCCATTTGCATACCCTCTGCACTCACAACATAGCCTAGAAATACAACCCGATCAGTCATAAAAGAGCACTTCTTAAGATTAATGTACAACTGGTTGTCATGTAGGACTTTGAACACATTTGTTAAATGCTCAAGGTGCTGAACTTTATCTTGGCTATACACCAAGATGTCGTCAAAGTAAACGACAACATACTTCCCCATGAACTCCTTCAAAACTTGAGTCATCAGCCTCATAAAAGTGCTTGGGGCATTCGAAAGCCCAAATGGCATAACAAGCCATTCGTACAAGCCATTCTTTGTTTTAAAGGCTGTTTTTCATTCATCTCCCAATCTAACTCGAATTTAATGGTATCCTCTTCGAAGGTCAATCTTAGAAAACACCTTTGCACCACAAAGCATATCAAACATGTCATCAAGACGGGGTATTGGGAACCGTGCTTCACAGTTATCTTGTTTACAGCCCTACTATCGATGCACATCCTCCAAGTTCCATCTTTCTTTGGAGTTAGGAGGGCTGGGACAGAACAAGGACTTAGTGACTTCCTAATCAGTCCTTTTTTTAGCAATTCATCAACTTGTCTTTCTAATTCAACATGTTCATTAGGTGACATGCTATAGTGAGGCAAATTAGGAAGGACTACAGCTGGAATGAAATCAATTTGATGTTGTATGTCACGAAGACGAGGCAAACCAGCAGGTAATTCATCTAGAACGAGGGGTTTGAATCTATGGAGTAACTCTGAAACTTCTTCAGGAACGTTTCTGACATCTTCCTTAGCTTCCCGTACAGCCACTAAAACATAAGTCACTTTCTCTTCGCTGAAAGCTTGCTCAAAACTCCTGCGGATAGCAAGTTGACTTGGCTCTGAAATGACACGCTTGTGGGAATGTACTTCAAAGGGTTCAATACAAAAGTCACCCCACCCTTCTTAAGAGAATAAGTGTTCTTCCTCCCGTCTTGTTGAGCACATCTATCATATTGCCACGGCCTTCCAAGAAGCAAATGACAAGCATCCATAGGAAGGACGTCAAAATAAAGCTTATCTTCATACTTTCCAACAAAAAATTTTACTTGACATCTTTTTGTAACTAAAACCTCTCCACCCTTTTTGAACCAGGACACTTTTTAGGGCTTAGGATGCTGCTCACATGCAGGCTTCAACTTCTCAACTGTGGTCTTGGACACCATATTTTCAACACTTCCAGAATCGATCATCAGGATACACTTCTTTTCATAGGTCAAGTACTAGGTTCGGAAGATATTATGCCTAAGCCACTGATCATCCTCTTGAACAGTCATCACTCATCGAATAACAAGACTTTTCGCGTCCCAATTAGGTTCACAATACTCCTTCGTATTGCCTCCTTCAGATTCTTCATCATAAATGGGATCTTCCTCTTCTTCGTCTTGATCTTCTTCTACCAGATTCATCTCAGCTTTCTTAGTAGGACATTCATATGAGTGATGACCAGTTTCACATCTGAAACACTTAAAATTTGAAGAAGATCCAGCCTTCCCGAATCCTTTTTACCACCAGCATGTGGGTTTGGGCGTTCAGAATTGGGCGCTGAAAGTTTCTTGCCCTGCGTCAACATCTTCTCTTTCGAAGCCTTACTACCGTCACCTTTTTTAAAAGATGTCCACTTAGCCTTTTCTTCAGATTTATGTGCCATTTGATATGCCTCTTCAAGAGAATGAATAGAGTGCAAGATTAAATCCCCTTGAAGATTGAACTTCAACCCGCTCATGTACCTCTCAACAAGTTGATCATCTGTCTCAACTATGTTAATACGACTCAACATCTTGTAAAATTGCTCAGTGTAATCAACCACAGATTGATCAATTTGCTGGTGTAACCGATGGAACTTTTGATACTGCGATTGAGAGTAATCAAGTGGAAGAAATTTCTCATCTAGCTTCAGCTTCATCTCTGCCCATGTGCCAACTCTTGGAACTCCTCGCTTGTCTCGAGTCTGTTGATATTGTTGCCACCAAATCAACGGATGGCCCTTCAACTTTGTAGCAACAAACTGTAAATTTTTTTTCTGTCAAAGTTTTCCATTCAAAGAATGCTTCCAAAGAGGCGATCCAGTCACAATATTCATCGGGATCCAACTTTCCTACAAAATCCGACACTTTAACTTGAATGCTTCGATTTGAACTTTCTAGGGCACGAGCTAAACGTTCCATTGACCATGGATTATCAGGAGCTGATTCAGGAACAGAACTAGAAGAAGTTGAATGGACATCATCCTCCTTGTTACGAAAAATTGTTCCTCCACTTCCTTGGCTTCGAGTAGGAGGATCTGGGATCCGTTGAAGCAGTTCATTCATCATCTGTTGGAGAACTTGATTGGATTGCCTCAATTCATTAAGTTCTGCCTAGACAATAGCACCTTCATTGTTTCTTTGACGTCGCGGAGGCATTATGAAATCTGGTGGAGCCTTAGGAATTGATTGGAATGAGGGTGGAAGGTGAAAGGTCAGATCACAAAACGAACACCACAGCAGGAATTAGGATACCACTTTGATGCAGGCCAGAACCTGCAAGGATTAGGATAGTCCCGGGATGCCACTCACCGGGGGCAACGGACGTCACTCAACGTTGCTAATCGCGGAAGGCACTCAAGCGACCAAGTCACCCACTTGATTCTAGGAGGACTCCTCACTCCAAGCAAGATAAACTTGCAGAGAATTATTCTCTATAATCATCAAAACATAATCTGATTTCATTCATGTAGATATTTATAAGGACTGCAAGTGATGACTCTTAGACTACTCCCCAGACATTTATGACATTTATTGCTTTAGGACTTTCCAAAACAAGCCATACTTCCAAGACAGACAACACAAATTAACAAGACATAGGAAACACAAGAAATCTAAATAGACTTTTCACTTTCCCATTAATGCTCCTGCATCATGCTGTCTCTCTTTACCCGCCTTTATGTTCTATCCATTTTGTTGCCCTTGCAGGTTTCTGTGCTTGCAGACGACATCCTAAAGAACGTAGAATATGATGCCTTGAGGATTGTTTTCAACAAGTTCCAGTCGGTTGTGTCCTTTGTGCCGACAGTGGCAACCTTATTGTCTCCTGAGGTTACTAGTTTCCACTGACTTAATTAATCCACACTGATTTCATTTTGGGTTCTTTTGTTTGTGGAAGTTGATTTGATGTTTTGTTTGTATAGGTTGTGGAGAGAGAAGCTGAATCTGGGGGAAAGCTTGTTGAGTTGGATTCCTATGAGATTGAAGGTGGTGAAACAAAGTCAGAAGTTCTTCAGAACCTAACAGAATTCCAGTTTTCTTGTGTAGGTCCCATCTTTCATGGCTAGAACCCATTCCCCAGTTGTTTTGTTTTGACTGTAGCCAGCATTATTTTGATTTCATAAAACCATCTACGGTGTGATTCTCACATGCTAGTCAAGGGACGTTTAATCTCTACATTTGTTGATTTTTCCAACATTCTTGGATTTGAGCATGGGTGAAAAGTTCATGCTGCTTAATTAGCCATATTTCTATGTAAAATACCATCTATAATTTGCATACCAGCATTTTATCTACACTCTGTTTAACTTGAGATTTTTTGTTCTGATTTCCCTAGGTTATGTTCAATGCGGTTATGGAGAATGCTTGCAGTGAGCAAGGAGCAAGGAGCAAGGATGTCTGCCATGGATAGTTCCAGCAGAAATGCTGGCGATATGCTTGATCGCCTCACACTTACTTATAACAGGTTCTCTCTCTGTCTCTCAGAGAACAACAGCACATGCCAACCCTCCCACCACACCTAACCATCTCTTTTTATTATGGGAAATGAACTTAAAAAACATGAAATTTTAATTTGTTTTGTACGAATGCAATCTGATTTCACTGTCTTCTGTAATTAGAACTCGTCAAGCATCTATCACCACTGAACTGATTGAGATCATATCTGGAGCATCAGCATTGATGGGCTAGTTCTGCAATCTTTGGCAGACGGTGTCAAAATAAAACCGTAGTGAAGACTTTGTTTGCCCTTGGTGGTATACCTTTTGAGAGTTTTTCTGTTCAGTGACACTAATAATTTCCCTGGGTGAATTGCATTTCCCGGAAAAATCATCGTTGTGGTTTCAATATATTCTAAAATCTTTTTTCCTTTTCCAATGGTAACTCTGGCTTAAATGGGTGGTTTGACCATATTATTCTCCTTTATTTTCACGACACCATTTTGTTTCATGTTACTAGTTTATAGGTGAGCAGATTTTTAAAATCCAATCGATTATTTATTGTAAGCAACATCTGATCAGGAAATTGCTTTTTGTTAAGCAAGAAATTTGTTGCATCCATGTTTTATTATTGGCAGTGGTTGTAGGTGGCTTGGACTTTGATAGAAATAGAGGTGGTTATTTCTTGGAAGTAAGTAACTCCACGCGAGCCTTGTATGAGACTCGAACCCTTGACCACCCCCAGTTGGGGTTACCGTCGTGGTCGAAATGGAAGTGAAGCATATATTATAAACTTGCACGCTCGGAGTGCTAGTTATTGATTGCGTAAAATCTGACCCAACTCGATTACTAAACGAATACGATTTTTTATATATTAATTATACACAATATAATATAATTTATTAAATAAAAGTTAATAAATAAATCTGATTTGGATAGAGGACTTTTTGGATAAGAATACACTAAAATCTGACACCATTCTAACCCTTCACCATTACATTAAATTTTGAAAAAAATTTGGACGTCACTTACTCACAATCTTAAATTGGAGAATATTCAATTGAGTTTTAGAAAATATATGTGGTGGCATCATTGCCCTTGGATCAGAAAGGCGGTAGGTGAAGTTCACGTACATACTATTTCACCTGCGTTGCAACACATCGTAACTTTTTCTCAAAATTTAAACCTAGAAATGACTGCAAAATGTATATAACGAAATGAACTACCAGTCGAATCTGGTAGCAAATCTAAGTTGTAGAAATCAGATATCTGAGCAGAAAGTAAAAGAAAAGTCAAAGGGTACACAAATCTCTCTTTATTTTCTTATTTTTTCAAGTCATAATCGATTAAATTCCTATTTTTCTCACGTTGTTGTTCCAAGGTTTTTCTATGCTCATGTTTATAAACCCACAAATTTTTAGTTTGTGTTTGAAATTTTTTATTAGAGCAATTCCAACGGGCTTGGTAAAAGCTGTTTTTTTAGACATTTTGAAGAGCCAATCCCAAAATTTTTGCTCCAACGGACTCTATCTCACTGGCTATTTTACCTCCCCCATTTTCACTCGCTACTTCTGGCGAGCAATCTCCCTAGCTATTTTTTTTTTGTGCCAAAAATCTATTTCAAAATCCACAACAACCCACACAAAATTCACTGAAATCCCATAAAAAACTCACCAAAAATCCTATGGAGAACGCAAATCGGTCGACCGTTGAACAACGGCGGCTTGTTGGAGAAGAATTAGAAGAAGAACTGAATCGAAGAATTACGTGTTTTTCTTTTGCGCCAGAATTTGAAGAATTTTGATCGAAGATTACCTAATCAACTAGCATTTTAATAAACTAGAATTTTGATCGAAGAATTTCCTGTTTTTCTTTTCCTCTGCTTTAACCATCGAAATTTTGTCAAATCATCAATCAATCGTTGCAATATTCAACTGGCCAAAATAATAGGTATTTAAATCCCTAATTTTTGTTTTACGCTGTTTTTTGTTGGTTGATTACCCAAGATTAAATACAGGGCTTTTTTGAGTGTAAGATTGAATGGTGATACACACAAGCAGTGTCAACAGTTCTGGGAGAAAGAGAAATCTAGTAAAACCCCAAAAATTCAATAAACCCCCCCCCCCCCCCCCAAAAAAAAATAATCCAGCAAACCCCCCAAAAAATCCAAAAAAGTCCCCCAAAAATCTAATAAAATCCCCAAAAAATTTAGTAAAACCCCCAAAAAATTCAATAAAATCTCCCAAAAATTTAGAAACCCCCCCCCCCCAAAAAAAAATCCAGTAATGTGAAGCACTTTCAGGTTTTGAAATTGCTTGAGTTTTTCGTTGAAAGCTTTGTTGCCCACTTGTGGACAACCAAACACAAAAGCAGAGATTGGAATGGGTGTTAAAATATAATTTTTAATTATATTATTAAAAATTAGTTGAAGCAGTTAGCTATAATAGATAGCGTGGTTGGAATGAATTTGTAAAAGTAACTAGTTAAAATATATAATACAATATTTAAATATATTTTGGGTAGCTATTTTGGATAGTCCTGTTGGAGATGCTCTATAGATGCTGGTTTGGCTAAAGGGTTGTTGTGTTGATGTGTTTTGGTTTCTTTTCGGTGCAAATCATTTGATTATTGATCATTTTTGTGTTGTGTTATTTTGTGTAATCATTAGGTGTTTTTATTATTATTTTGCAGTCTGTTGCAAGTAATTGGGATTGCAATTTTGTTTAAATATGTCTATTTCAATTTGTTAATGACAGATAATCTGATGGAACGGTTGATTAGTGCACGAATTAGCCCAATCATGCTTATTGTAGGCAACAATATTCTTGTTTTGTTCCTAAATTTATTCAGACATGGACGAAAAAAGTGTCTGTTAGTCCAATTGGGATGATGAAACAACCAAAATCATTCAATTCGGTAGCTGCTTCAGTTCAGCCACTAGAAGCCTCAACAAAGGGCTGCTTCGACAACATTGTATCATCCAAAGGTTATATTCATCAGTTCAATATATGTTCACACTTTTTATATGTTGAAAACTAGGTGTTATTAATAATCTTTAATTCAGTAAAATTAGGTTTGATAGGGTAACGAAGTTGATATTTGTGTTATTTTCACTGAAAGGTTTTAGTATTTCTAATAAAATTAAATAAACCATCGGTTAAGATGAAGGATGAGTCTGAGATTAGTGGATTTTATATGACGGTTCATGACCTTTCAAGAATAGAGTCCTCTGCTTGATGAGTGCTTTCTTGTTGTCAGAGTTTCTTGAGGTGTGGCGAAATGCCAAAGTCATATGCTTTGATGTGGACAACACAGTCTGCATAGATGAGGGAATTGATGAACTTGCAGAATTTTGTGGAGCTAGAAAGGCTATTGCAGAGTGGACTGCTAGGTTGGATGTCTCTTTGCTTACACAGTTGACGATGCTTAGTTGTTTTGATAATCTAACAGTTTGACATTTCTTTTTTTCCTTGTTGGCTTTTGCCAGGGCAATGAATGGTTTTGTGCCTTTTGAGGAAGCTTTGGCTGTCAGACTCTCTCTCTTTAACCCTTTGCTGGCTCAAGTCCAGGATTTCCTTGAGAAGAAACCTCCAAGGTATGGGAATTGCATTTGGTTATCAGAAGCACATCTTGGGTTGCTTCTTTATTTGATTTAGGGGGCTTCAAAATTCCCATGTCTCATTAAATCAATCATTGTCTTCACATAGTATTTTAGCACAAAAGTGAAAGTGTGCAATCCAGGCATTGATGTAATTGGCAAGATATGATGGAGACTATTAACCCTGTCTTGAAAAGTGCTGTAACAAATTTACTTGTCGAAGTTTAATTGCGGACAAACTATTTTCTTTATAGCACAAGAGGAACACAACACCAAAGTTTAAATGATGAATTACTTTACATGCACCAACTCTTACCCTTTTTTGGATATGCGAAACCTTTGTGAGTATAATGGTTTTAATTTGCTTGACAAACTCATTTTGTTTTTGCTCTTCAATTGGTAGAATTTCTCCTAGATTAGATGAATTGATCAAGCAGCTGAGGGATAATGGTACAAGCGTCTATCTGGTCCTTGGAGGCTTTCACCAAATGATCAATGTATGTTGTTGAACGTTGTAGAAGCTGTTTAATTTCCCGCCTCTTTTGGTCTTCCATTGTGGCATTTATCTAAACAAATTTCCTTAACATTGTTCAACATAGATTTTCTGGATTCAGTAACCTAATCTTTTGGTTAATGACCCCTAAAAGTTAAACTTATAAAGCTCTTTCCTAATAGGCTCTAATACCCTCTTGAAATCCTCTCAAAAAGTTTTCTAATAGGCTCCTTCCTAAGAGTTTTATCAATCCTCTCAAAAACTCTTATGTAATGTGTTCTAATACCCTCTTGACAAATTTTCTCATAATGTGATGGTTTCTATTGTGAGTATTTTGCTCACAGTAACTCATTTGGGACAAGTTCTATTATCATGTGGGTGTTCTAAGATTTAAGATGCCAAATACACTGAATATAATTATGTATTGTCAAATAAACGGGATACTGATCCACATAAATTAGCAGGGATTTGATTTGATAGTAGTCTTATTAAAGGTGATATTTTTGTAACTCAAGTTTAACTTACCAAAACAAAACTCAAGATTAATGCATTACTTGACTGAATCTTCCTAACTACGAATTTAGTGATTGATTTGAGGGGTCAAGAAGCTTTTTAAAAAATGGAGTAAAACCTGAAAGCTTATGGTCATATTATTTATCTTATTGAGTTCGAGTAAAAAGATTTGTTCCCCTGCCCCAACTCAAATGAAGGTTCTCTGTTTGAGTCGACTTAATTAAGTTCTTCAATGTATTCAAGGAAATTTCATATTTCACTGATATAGTATGTAATGGCATCATCATTTCAATACCCAGGTTATCATTTTTGTCCTAATAATACATTTTACATCATTGTATTCATCCAGTGATTCTGTTTTTCTGAATCCCGATAACAATGTGTGTGGTGTATTTAAGTAAAGACTTGTATATTGCACGTCAAGCTTGATGTAATAATTGCTATCCACACTCATTCACTTGAAGTCCGTCGCATCTATTCTTGGCATACCACTTGAAAACATTTTTGCCAATAAACTGTTGTTTGGCAGCTCTAGAGAGTTTTTGGGGTTTGATACAAATGAACCAACTTCAAGGAGTGGAGCGAAAGCTACTGCAGTTCAACAAATAAGGAAAGTTAGTGAAGTTGTTCGTTTCATGTCTTCTCGAGAAATGTAGACAAAACTTGTCGAAGCACTGTAGATGATCAATCAATTTGGTGTTTGTTTCAGATTTGTTTTTGAAAAATATTTATAGTAAAGCTTATTTAACTCTTCAGGCTCATGAATACTAGTCATTAATCATGATTGGAGATGGTGCAACTGATCTTGGAGTTATAAAATCAACTCAACATGACAAAGTCTCATCCCAACATTATTGGAGTTAACATGAGGATATAATGTCAGTTATTCAGCCAATATTTTGTAATGCCATTTGTCATCCTCTTTGCATTTTTTGATCTTGATGGGGGCAATCATAGCAAAGTATATAAGATCTATGAAACAACATACATTTATGGTTAATTATTTGTGTGGTCCACTCAGCCCAGGTACATTATTGAGAAGGTTGAAGTTTCAGAGGAATCCGTAGTTGTTATTGTAATAGTGAAGGCAAAAGGAGTTGCTCTTATTTTCCAGAGATTCACCCTTTTGATATTTAGTTGGCAGTAAGTCACTGGGTATAAGTTTCTACATAATCTCTCTATGATTTGAAATTTCTCATCTCTTTGTTAGTTGAGTACATCTAATATCGATGGTGATATCTTACCTGAAATGAAAGCTATAATTCAGTTCAAAAAATTGTTAAGATTTTCTTGTCCTAATGTATTTCATCGGTTCTCTTTTCATTTTTCAATTATCCTGATGGTCTATTATTGTCCTTCTATCAGGCAGGAGCAATGGAGTTTTCACAAGAGTGGTTCAAACTTCATTATCTCAAAGGCTTATACCAGTCCTTTCATTAGGTAGGTGCATTGGACTTTTCAGTTTTTATTCCCTTTGTATTATGAATGAGAAAGCAAAGACTGGTGCACTGGAATTTTGTGGTCTGTAGTTTCTTAAACCTACTTGTCTGTCTTTATCAACTATATTATATGCAAAATATCTTAAAAATAGCCCCACTCTATTCATCCTCCCGGAATTTACTTGCTTTTTTCACTGTGGTTAATTTTTCTTTCCTATTTCTGCTTTATCATTCATTATCATGTACTTCATGGGGCACATAAATCTGGGATTTTTCGGTGGCATGAACCTGTTACCTAGTTGGTGGCTTCAGGTGATGCATAAGCTGATAAATGGCTGATAGCCTTTTCAATTGCAACTTATGTACCTTTGTCTTGGCTCCAACCATGCCATCGGTAGTACTGGACAAGCGGCCATGCGTGGTGAGAAAGTCTTATACTTTGTGAAATTCTTCTGTTGAGACTAGCATAACAGTATGGATACAATAATGTTGTTTTGACCAAATTTCTTTTTTTTTTTAACTGTCTAGCACGCATAGCCACAACCTAATGCATCGACCTACATACATGAGTTGGTAAGAAAAAATGAATAAGAAAAATGTGTTATTAGCATTTTTGTATTGATACATTTGGTCAAATCCTAATATTACTAAGAGTTTTTAATTTTTCAATAAAATGCCTTCATGAGTCAACATTGGCATTATCACCACTTTGGCATACTAGAAAGCTATCATCTTGCGCTGATCCATACCCATAACCACCGGGATTCTCACTAATTGGAGATAGGTGCATCCAAGTCCTTTCTTTCTCTCTTTTTTTTTTTGTGCATTCATGTCAAAAACAAAAGCATTTTAGAATTGTATTAGGATTGATGACAGTGTTGGTGAATCGATAAGTTTGGTTCATTATTACTTGTCTGATATGAGTTCAAGTCATGATCAAGTACTATGGTCAACCTGGCCCCATAAACTAAGCTCCTACACAATATAATTGTAATTATCGATGAAAAAAACGTGACAGCTTAGTGGTTAATGGCACACGAAAAGCGGTGAGCCCTTTTCTATAGGATGGATATAAAGATTCAGTTTGGTTCCTATTAATTGTAGCTATTGGGAGATTAGAGACTTTGAAACTATTTGTGCAAAGTGGTAGTGATTAAATTTGAACCCACAATTTTTAGATGTGGACCCGATACTTTTAGAATGGATCCACAGTGACCCCATACTTTTTAAGATATTTGAACCCAGACCAAAATATTTTTCCTTTCTATAATATAGTTTTCATGATATTGTTCAGGTTTGTGTCTTTAATGTCCCAAGGTAGATGAACAAGCTGGTAGGTATTGAATAGTAGGGTACTTCCTCCATTTTCTAGGCAACTAATAATTCTTATTCTATGTTGCTTTGGGTATCAACCCCACCCTTTAATATTTTCAACAAAAACATTGACACCCCTAACAGTTGACCTAAAAAAGAAAAAGCAACCCCCCACCCCCACCAAACCCAACAAATATTTTAGGAAGTATTACATTAGACTCCTTGTGATTTGTAAAATTTCTTGACATTGAAATATTATATACAGAACCCTAAAATTTGTATGCGAGTAATACTTAGACTCCTGTCGTAATTGTTCGTTAGTATATCCGTTAGTTAATTATACTCAGACCTTTGAAGTTTGTTAGCGTGTAATAATTAGACTCCTCAAGTTTGAAATGTTATACTTTTTTATTTTTTTGGGGAAGGGGAAGGGGGATTTGAACACTTGTTCTCAAGAAAGCAAAACCTTCACAAGTCAAAGAGTACCATTGGACCAAAGACCCATTGGTGTAAAATTCGTACTTAGACAAAAAATACTCTAATCAAAGATAAAATATTAAATATATTAAATTTTACAATCAAAATTTATGTTTTATTATGAGATTTATTGAAATAAAATTAAAAATAAAATTATAATTTTTTCTTAAAAAATTATAATTGGTATATAATTATACTATCTATTGGAATTTAATTTGGTCTTTTTAAATGATCAAATTATCTCAATTAAAGTTAGAAGATATTATGTCCATTACAGTTTGACCTCTTATTTGATTTTTTAGTTTTATTCCAATAAATAGTAAAATTGTATATTAATTACAATTTTTAAAGAAAAATTGAATTTTTCTTTTTGATTTTATTTCAATAAATGATACAATAGAACATGAATTTTAGTTATAAAATTCAAAATATTTGATATCTATCTTTGATTGCAGCATTTTTTGTCTAAGTATAACATTTTAAACTTGAGAGATCTAAATATTATACGTCTATAAACTTCAAGAAATCTGTGTGTAATTTACTAACAAATATACTAACGGATATTTGACGGTAGGGGTCTAAGTGTTATATGCGTATAATTTAGAGAATCTGTGTAATATTTCAAATGTCAAGAAATCTGAGCGATTAACAAACAAACCTCAGAGAGTCTGGATGTAATTCTCCCAATATTTTAATATTGGCACTCCAATACTTTGTTTGTCTTTGACGATGTAGATCAACGTGGTGCAAGTTTGTGATATTGAGCAGATGAGATGAGTAGTGTGTGACTATTAGGATCTGAGCTGGGTGGCTCAAAAGAACAATGATTGGTATTCATGGGAAAATTGGGGGATTGACACAATGAAATTATAGTGGTTCACCAGCTCGGGGCTCGGTTAATCCACTCTTCAATGGAGACTCTTGATCTTTTTTCCTCTATTGATCATCCGAAAGGTTTACAAGTCCGATTGTATGCCACTAGGGTCCCCTCTCTATTGGGGGTGTTACATAGTATTTATAGGGCTATCCCTAGTTCTGCAAGATCTGCACCGAGATCCTTGCCATTTATCCGAGGAACTCTCCTTGATCTTAGGAGAGGATCTTAGCTAGTTAAGGATTTTGTGCCTTGAATATGACTCTTTGCCACCTGTAATATTTCTATTGTCATCCAACTATTCTCTTATCATTTTCATTGTTATCACGTCTGGGGGGGAGCTCTAGCTCTGATCTTCTGAGCTCTGCATGTTTTCCCTAACTTCTTGGTCTGACTTACTTGTCTGACCTCCGTTCCTAAGCTCATTCTTGAAAATTATTCTGAGTATCATCAGTTTTCCCCCAGCCCTTAGCCCAAGTGAACTTGGATAGGGGCTGAGCTGAGGCTTAATTAAGGCAGACCTCTAGATGCTGACCTCGATTTACGTGTAAACAAGTTTTTGAAGGTTTCAGGTAATCATTTTACTTCCTAGTTTCTCGTGCACGTTCTCCACTTTGTATCATTAGCTTTAAATGCCCCAGGACCAACGGTTCTCTCCTCTTCGAATTCTCTTTGGCTTTCCTTCTCTTCTTTGCGACTTCATCTTCCCCAATTCGCTACTGTTCTTAGGGCTTTTGCAGAGAGATGATTTCCTCTAATTTGACCCAAAGGCTTAACGAGGTTTGCTTCTTCGTTCTTCGCTTCGAAGGATTAGATACGTTTCTTGTCTTTTTTCGTGCTTCTTCGTCTGGGACCCCTCAAATCTGAGGTGGTTGTTGCATTTTTGGACCTTTCGATTCTGTTATTTCAGGAACAGGAATCGATCTCTGTCTTGTATTCCCCTCTTCTTAAACCCTTATTCAACCGCTAAGGTTTTCCTTATTGGCAGTTTTTGTGTTGCCCCCCAGTCTCTTAAAGAGTGTTTCGCAAATATTCCTCCCCTTTATCACACCTTTAGTCTTTCTTTTTCTTGTCCCACTATGTCTGCCCCTTCTGGAGCTACTCCCTCCTCAGTTTCCCCCCTAAAGAATAGATCTGCTAAGGAGGATTCTAATCCAAGTGAGGTGGGAGAGGAGATTGACAAGTTCCCCGGTGTCGATTCTGTTGAAGCTAAGGGAAACCCTGCGGAGATTTCCTCCTCTACCTCTCCTGCGCCCTAAAACCCTAACAAAGGTAAGGCCAAGGTGGGAGACGCCGGTGACTCCGACAGTGCTGAGGGTGCAGGGGCTGCTTTCAGGACTGCAGAGCTCGTAGGCTCTAGCGAGGTCACTCCTTCCCTTATGAAAGTTCTTAGTGGCCGTTTTGGTTTTTCTCCTATCGTCTAATATTGGTGCCTAGACAAATTTACCCCATATGTCTCCCAAGTTCGTAAGAAGGTCTATTTTTTTGTGGCCACCTTCGACAATAGCCTTTGTTTTCCCATGCACCCCTTTATCAAGAGTGTTTTGCAACACTTCAACGTCTGCTCTACTTAGATATCCCCTAACTTCTGGGGTGTTCTAGTGGGCCTTCTCATTTTCTTTAAGAAATATAAGCTTGGGGTTCCCACTGTCTCTTTGCTCATGGAGTATTTCAATGTTAAGTACACCCCTACTGATGGTTTCTAGTATATTTCTAAACGGGTACAAGCCAAAGCAATTATTTTTGACCTCCCGAGCTCCCACAAGGGCTGTAAAAAACTTTTCTTCTTTGTGGGGGGCAATCACAAGGAGTACAATCCTGCAAATAACTCAGATTCCCTTCTAATCCCTCGGGTCTAGAAAGCCCTAGACTACTTGGGTAAGTCCTCCCTTGAGTGAACTTGTATCAATCTTAGGGCTTCTTAGGCTGATCTCTTTTTGCTTATTTTATCTTGTTTCTTAGGTATTGGCCCTGAACTCAGTTCTACAGACGAGAGGATTTCGCGGTTCTTAGAGGGTTACAACTTAGAGAGATATTCTGAGCTCATCAGACCTTGGGTTCTTGTAGCGAAAGGGTTTAGTCTCCTTGAAGTAATGATAGAAGCTCCCATTCCCTCTCTGTTGTTAGTGTAGAGAAGGCAACTGGTATACCCTGACTTCTCCCTTTCCAACTTCTTTTTTCGTTCTGCTTATATGTTCTTATCTGTTTCTGGGCTTTCAGTGTCATCTGTGATGAAGCCATCCACAGCAAAGTTCCAAGCCAAACTTTCTCAGCTAAAGAAGACCAGAAATAGTGGTAAACGCAAGGCTGAGGTTGGCTCAAGTAGGGAAGCTGCTCCTCTGACCAAGGTACAGAAAACGGACGTGCCTCCTGCTCTTCTACTTCAACTCCAACCTCAACTTTCCCCGTTGCGCCTTATGGGCACCAATGTTGGGAAGGAAAAAATCCCCAA